TGGAATTGCTATGAAGATTAAATATATTTACATTCATGATGTAAATTTGGAAGAGAGGAGATATTGAGAGAATTGTGATAAGAAAAGAGACACTTTTAAGGAACACGAACATATTTTTAAATCTAGGCTGGTCCTTAGCTTGATGACTTTGCTTTACCTTCAGTATACTTCTCTCTGAAATAGAAATAGCATTTCATTCTTCTGGTCTATGGTAGATTCAACAGCAGAATGTTGCATGGGACATCTAATATGGTGTCTGACACTTCTCAGCACTGGGTATTTACCCCTTCCATAGGCAAGTGACAGACACTCTTGTAATGATTTAGTATTGGCATAAACATAGCCACAGCAAAATAACTCACAATTTGGGCAGTGTTTGGTAAAATAACTTTGGTTCCCTGTGTGGGCTGTTGAATTTTGTTGTGATGCCAAAATAATCTGTGATGAAAAAGATTAGGGATGTGATTTCATATCCACTGCTTCCTTTACAGCCCATTTGTGAGTACTCCCCCAAACCATAGAAAACACAGTAAAATATGAATTATTCTAGTGCATGATATTGGCATGATATGGGTGCAAAACAAGAGTAAACATTAAAATTCAAAGCAAAGAAAACTTATAGGAGATATGCAAGTAATAGTATTTCAGATTGAGATTTTATTTTCCACCATTTAAAAACTATTGTTATCCTTATAATTTCAAGTGCTGTTGCTTACATATTAGACTCTCAAATTTCTTACCATTTTTAGATCCATCACCAGATAGGTTTATAGGCATTAAAGATATGTGGGATTCTGAATGATAATTCAAGTAGTAGTTTAGGGCACATATGTAATGCAGGTGGATGCAGTTTTCCTAGAAGATGGAATTCAAATTCACATATTTTTCTAGCAAAGAGGCAACATGGCATAGTGGATAGAATTTTAACTACATGTCTAAAGCCCCAAGTTTAGATTCTGATTTTTGGTGATATGACTATGGGCTAGCAGTTTCAGAAACTTGGTTTCTCCAAACCTTAGTTTTTCAAAGAAAGTATTCCTGTGTCAGTATGCTCTACCTCAACTACTCATATAAAATGTATCTTTCCACTTAGGTGTGTTTACTTCTGAGAGTAAACACTATTATCAACAAAACCAGGATAAAAGGGGTAAAATAGAAAAGTTTCTGCCACATCACTGAATAGTCTTCCTAATTTTTCATTCATCTGTTTCTCAGAAATCTATGTTTTGACAAGCACCACTGAAAATGTGCTCTTGTAATTATGTGAAATTTGATGCAATTGTATTTGGTATATACTGTGTATCCATTAAATGTTTGCTTTTGATTAACTGAGAAAATACCTCACAGAATTATTATAAAGGTCAAATATGATGCTTCTGAATGTTTTGATATATAATAATGTGCTATCTAATGGTTCATTGTTGTAATTATTGTGGGGAGTCCCATGCTAATGCATTTAAGAATTTACTTGCAATGAGATGATAGTTGATTTACTTAAGCACAAATAAATCACTTGGAGATACAGGGTCAAGCCAGGATGAAAAGGGACCAGTGAAAAAATCTTGGTAAACACTATATTAATAAAAAGGAAAAAGAAAGGGAATTAATCAAGAATATAGATATTCTTCAGAGAACCAGGCTAATTTATGTATCTTTGTCTCATAAAGATTTTTATTTCTCCATGTCAAGAAATAAATCCAACTAAGTTTTCATCCAATGGCACTGTGTGGTGCTTGGAACCTGACAGATACTGAGCTTTTAGTAATGCATTTGTGCATGCGGTGTGTGAGAGAGTGAATAGGAGAAAGAACTCTAGTCATCACATCAAAGGACAAGGAATTCCTGAATGATGGTTTCTGCCCAATACTTTTTCTCTATATCTCTAGAATAAGGGTCAGAAGTAAAACCCAAGAAAGATGAAGGAGAAGTTCACAGCACTTACATGATCAAAGGTGTCATGATTGGCTCTGAGAAGAAAAAGTTATTTTCTCTCTCCTTCTACCTTTACTTTCTTCTATAGAGTTCTGGAGATCTCCATCCTTAATATCTCTTCTTCTCTTGATGCTATCCAATTGGGCTTGAGTTCTCTGTCTGCAGACCCAAAGTGGTCTTTTTCATTTACAATCACACTGGAAGAGGATGCTCTATATCTGCTGGCTGCCCTGTCGCCTAGGGTGAACTCAGAGGCAGGGGAAGTGCAATTATCTTCCATCTTTGTGGGATTTTAAATGCTCTCATGGTCCCTCAGGAGCCCCATCTACGATATCCAGAGACTCAGGTAACAGGAGCCTTCTGAGCATAGGATGCACTAAATGCTGAATATTGAGAGGGTTTTGGAATTACATATAGAACAAAGTAATCAAGGTAATCTTTAAAGGAACTGGCTACCCAAAAGCTTATGAATCCTTTCTAATCAACCCATGTTTCTGTTTTGGGTAAATAATCTCACCCAACCCTTATATTATCTATAGACCTCAAGGATTTGGCAAATCTGACACTTTTTCAAGTTTATGCCTCTTCCCTTATCTCTCTTGTTTCTTGTTTCTGGTAGACCAAAACTCACAAAGATTAAAGGGAGGCTAGGAAAGGTGCCTTTATTCTGGATAGCCACAGACTTGGCTCATCTTGGGATGAAAAGAATCTCAGAATCAATATTGGGGAATATTTAGGAATGGTAAGTGACAGAGACAGATTTTTCAATAGAGTTACCAAATGTGAAGTAGCTTCTATTCGTTCTGTATTGCGCTGCACAGTCATGTACTGTGTACATTAAAGCATCTCTTTCAAGGACTGACCAGATCACATCTAGGATGATGGTACCATAGGTGTCATGGAGCGGAAAGCTCCTATTTCCCAGTGGTGTCATGGTGTCATTATGTCACACACAGTATATCTCATGTTTGTGATTGTGCCCGTGTAAACAAACCTACTGGGCTGCCACTCACATGCAAATGTGCCACATACAACTGTGTCAGGTTCATTATAATTGGTATTGATAACAAACTAGTTTGCTTTGATTTATGAATTTATTACACCATACATTTATCATTTTGGAGTGCAGCCCTTCTATTTATAAAAAAGAAATTGATCAACAGTATGCTATGTTGTGCCAACAGTAACTTCATGCACGTATCTCTTCTTTGCATCAGAAGGTAGAATGACTGACTCGCGCCATCTCAGGGTGTGCATGTGCACTCTGATATTCACACAACGAAGAGCTCACCCACAAATACTACTTCAGGATGTGTTTCATAGTTAAGCAAAGCTTGATGACAGTTTGTTTTCTTTTCAGTAATTTACCAGATATGGTATTATTTACTTAATTTTTTATTGAGTATTTCCTTCTCTTATAATGTAAACCCTAGGAGAATAAGATTTTTTGATGTTGTTTATTGTCACAATGCCAATTTGCAGAATAATGACTTTCACATACATTCGTTAACTAAAAGAATGAACAACATAGTTCTTTTTCCAAATTTCAATTTCTGTACTCACTAAATATTTTATATGAAAAGAATGACATTAACATGTTTAAACAAAGCATATAAATAAACACATAAATAAAATGTATCCATGCCTCAATAACCATAAAGTTCTCTTTAATTATGTATATTGTGCTACAGTGAAGAGATTTTCCAGTATAATTCCTGTATAATTGTTTTTCACACATAACCAACATATGCTTTCTCTGATTCAAGCACTTCTTACCAATCTGTCACATCTGGTCACATGTGGCTGACTTCTATTTCTAAGCTTTCAGTTGAGCTAGATTAGATCATGAATTCTGCTCATGTTAACAGCTTCTTCCTTTTACTGCTCAGATATATCAACTAATAAAAAGAAATTACAGCAATGAGAAATACTAGACATGGCTCATTCCTTCTCACAATCAGTTTAGTATATACAAAAGTAGATCCTAATGTTGATAAAATATATTAGTGTTTATATTTTGCTTCATTATTTATGTGTATATGAAGTGCATGTGGGTGTACTTGTGTGTGTGTGTTTATAGATATACATAGTCTCTAAAATATACATACATCTGCTAAGATCAATTAGCTTCTAGAAGCAATCAGCAAGATAGGTAAGTCATTGCCCCCCCTTTACAGAATCAAGAATAAACAACTTAGGGAGAAAAAAAAATTACTTCAACAAATATTTCGTAGGAACCACAATCAGGCTGAGTCTTACATACATACCATATATTCTTTACATAGATTTTCAAAAGTGGTTAAAACAAGGGGCCGTGGATTTAGCTCAGTGGTGCTGCCGCCTGCCTCGAAAGTGCAAGGTGCTGAGTTAGATACCTGGTACCAAAATAAATACATACATACATACATACATACATACATTCGTACATACATAAGGTTAAAACTTTCCTTAAGCCCTAGATTTAATAGTTCTTGTGAAACAGAAATGGTGCAAGCGACATGATCATGTTTCGAGTCATGTCTCAAGCTCTTTAGCCAGGAAAATCAGCACAGCTATTTTCAAATACATTGTTACCTCAAATATTTCATTCTATTATCCTGATGAAGTCTTCACCTAGGCCTGTAAAATTCTGTCTTTAGTGAAAAGATATGCTCTCATTAAAGCAAAAGTGTGTGTGTAGCTCTGGCTTTGCTTATAATCTGCAGATAAAAGATTTGAATTAAAGACGAGGAGTCAAAATGCCCATCATGTTTTATTACCAGGGCCTATGACACTGTCAACCCCGGGGAAAGGCTGTTAATGAAATAAGCAGTTTTTGGTATCATTTTTTGGTGTTACTGTTGCAACATTTTCACTTGAAAAACAAATCCATTTCCTTTGCTAATTCTCTAATTGTTCCTATGCCAGACCTGACAGGAAAAAAGTAAATGCTCTTTTCTGAAGACTTTTCTGTCCACTCACAGAAAGGCAGAAGTTGCACTATTTGTTTAAGAATTTTCCACCAGTCCCTTAGTCATACAGTTGCTACTTTATAACTGGTCCCTAGGAGGGGGCGGGACTTCCAGGAAACAGTGCAGTTGTTTCTCTTTCAGTGCCTCAGAGTGCTGCTGTTAGTACCTGGCCAAGGCCTGCACCTGAAGACTGAGAGCCTCTTATTCATTCTACTCCGTTTCATCTGCTGGCGCTTGTTCTAAGAACAGCTGGGCAATTTAGTCCTGGTATGTGATCCCCAAATATTTCCACATGATTGGCAGTAGAGAGGCTCATGTGGGGGTTGGAGGGGGCATTTAACTATTTACTCAGGATCTCAGGGTCCCTCTTCTAACTACTCTTCTCTTTCACTCTCAGGCAACTGATTTTATAGGTTTGTGCTGTGAAAATAGGGCTTTAAGCCTCCACTCCAATCGATTGCAGCCTACAAACCCTTCTATAAAGCATTTTCAGAGCTTTGCACTGTTCCTTGTGCAAATATGCATACAGTAAAAACCTAGGACTGAATATTTGAAGATTAAATCACTCTGTTTCTGTGCAAGCCACACTGTGCACCCCAAATATCCTCCTTGGAAAGATGCTAGGCTCTTTACTTCCTTGCCTGCAGGAACAGGGGACAGGGATGTGGTCCTCTGTGCTAACCTGCAGGTTAGTGGCTCTGAGCAGGACTCTGGTGATCTTGAGTGTCTACCTCGGATAGCTTGCTGTCTCAGTGAGAAGCCCCCCCCCCCGCCTGAGGTGCAAGCTTTATGAACTCCTCCTTGGAAAGATGCTAGGCTCTTTACTTCCTCGCCTGCAGGAACAGGGGACAGGGATGTGGCCCTCTGTGCTAACCTGCAGCTTAGTGGCTCTGAGCAGGACTCTGGTGATCTTGAGTGTCTGCCTCGGATAGCT